GGAATAGCCTAGAATTAAAATACATGTTCCCATAAACAGTGAAATGTGTAATTCAGGACTCAAGACATGTCCTTTCCCCTAGATATTTGTTCTTTAATTACAACTCTGTAATTGGTATCATGAAATATATGCTCTTTATTTCTGAAGTAATCCATAGGTGAGGCCCATTGAATAATATTGTCAACATATCTTGAAGCAAAACATACTTATTTTAAAAACAGACCTTATCTTCCAAATTTAGAGAATATGGAAGTTATGTTTGGACTTGAGTGCGTTTGCCCAGATTTGATCTTGAAATAATTATTGATGGAAAAAAATGACAAAGCAATAATTTAAAAAATACATTGTACAATTTAAAAACTCGGTTTCTCATTCCAGTTTTTCCACTGATTGGTTGCATGACATAGGTTAAGTCAGTCAACTTATCTGGATTTGTTTTCCATTTATAAAATTGAGAAGTTTGAGCCAAATGGACTCTAAAGTTTCTTCTTGCCCAAATACTTTATTATTTAAAAGACGATAACGCTCACTGCATTGGTGGTAAGAATCTCAAATAGAGGTGACCAATATCAAGCATGTGTGGAATGAAGACAAGGGCTTACATATCTAAGTTTAGTGCACAGCATGCCACAAGATGGAGTTGTGAGAGCTTATGAAGGCCTTACAAGAAAGCCATAAAAATGAGATAGTAAAATAAAAACTGAAAAACCGAAGCCTGTGATAAGTAAATACATATACATGAAGGAATAAAAGAATTGATACTGTTTGTCTAAGATATAAGAAATAGCCTAAGAATAGTTGTAAAGAGTTTTCCATTTATGCAACAAATATTTATCACCAACCTCCTCCAGGCACTGTTCTTATCAAAGATCTGAGGATGAGATGAAGTTAGATGAAGGTGTAGCGAATGCTCCTTTTGGGAAGGAACAATTATCCACTGTGGTTAGATGAATTGAGTCAGGCAGGGTGTGTGGGAGATCCCTGCTGTACTTGGAAGAGATGATGGTTCCCTGTGTTTCAGGTGTTTAGGAAACATCTTGCTTAACAGCCATGTATTCTAAACACTCTCAGTAGTGCCCTCCCAAACTGAACCTGTCATTTCTTTTCCACTCTTGCTGGCTTTGTTACCAGAGAGGTGGGAGATAAGACTTTGACTCTGTGACCCATTTTCTTCCCCATTAAATGCTAGAGTTGAGGGTGATGGGGATATCAGTATGCCAAAATAAATTGATAGAGTAGGATTTCAGTCTCCCCTGAGCTGTGCTTTCTCAGTCTAATGTCATTATTTTAAAAGCCATAGGTTCCTAGAAGAACCTTTTTCAAGTGTAAGCACCAAAATGCACCACAGTGCTGTCATCTTTGGGTTCCATGGTGCCCCAATGATGACTCAGCCTTCTGCTTTCTGTAGTCGCTAAGCCCCTTAAGTGGGCTCCAGGATTTTCTCCAGCAGCCCCGCAGTGAACAGTGCTCTGGTGAGGTTCACAGTGTCGAAGTGATTTCAAGTCGCTTGTTGTTTTGAATTTTCTTTGCCATTTCTTTCATTAAATGAATGAGCAAGTGATCCATGGTTTCAGTGGTTCTTCTGCTTTATGTTATTTTGAAAGTAAAAACAGAGCACAGTAACACTTTTATATGGATTTACTTATTACAAAATCAAAAGTGCATGGTGTTTATATGACTTGATGTTATCAGAATCAGCTATTGGTTTATAAACCCGACAGAAACAAAGTCTCAAAACATACTATCTTACCCACAATGTTAAGCTAATTAAATGTCCTGTATCTTAGCTAAAGCGTTACTTACACTTCATTAGATTTATACCTTCTTAAATTTGAAAAACAGACTTAATTTACTTTAATAAAGAAGCAACTTGTCCTAATGGACAGAACAGTTAATGCGGCTTTGCAAAGTAACCCGATTCAGACAGTTTAGTAGGTGAACACTGTTTCATGAATGGAAGTCTATCTAAACCCTTCCTATTCGAAGTGTGGTCTTTCCTATTCAAAGTGTGGTCCACGGACCAGGGAGTATGCGCTACCCAGGAGCTTGTTAGAGATGCAGACACACCATCTTCCCCTCTCCCAGCTACTGAATCAGAGCCTGTATTTTGACTAGAAAACCCAGGTAATTCGTGCACATGTTAGGTTTGAAGTTGGTGGCAGGATGGTTTGTTGTAAATTATATTCACTTTTGATCTGGAAAAAAAAATAAACCTAACAAGTTTGGATGACTTGTTCATTCTAAAAATATTAATAAATGATAAAGGTGTGAACATTATATAAAGTCTGTGAGAAATTAGAAATGAGGAAATGAGATGCAAATTATCCCAGAAAATACAAACTAATGTATATACACAAAATATTCTGTAATACATAGTATTTGGGGAAATTTGAACATGGAATGAATAGTGATACGTGTGACCTGGGGTGGTAGTAGACAGAAAGCCAGAAACTCATCGATAACAGATCATAGTGGTCACTGTTCCATTGACAATTTGATTTGTTAGAGATTTCCTTAAAAACAGAGTGTAGAGGCCGGGTTCTGTGGCTCAGCCTGTAATCCCGCGCCTTTGGGAGGCTGAGGCGAGTGGATTGCCTGAGCCCGCTGGTTCGAGACCCACCTGGGCAGCGAGACCTCATCTCTACATAAATAAAAAAATCAGCCGGGCGTGGTAGCGCGTGCCTGTAATTCCGGCTACTTGAAAGGCTGAGGCGGAAGGATTGCCGGAGCCCAGCAGGTCGAGGCTGCGGTGGCCGGGAGCGGCCACTGCACTCCAGTCTGGGCGACAGAGTGAGACTCCAACTCAAAAAAAAGAAAAAAAACAAAACAAAACAGAGTGTGGTTGAGGCTTATGTACCTCTCATGCAGTTAGTGACACTTTGCTAGAAAGATAAAGATAAACCAGAGAGTGTTTGGAGATGGGCTGGAAGATTGATTATGGCATAGGAAGAACTGATTTATGAGGAGAGAGAAAAATAATTAAAGGGGCAGCACTGTACTATAAAGAGGCTATGGAGACACAAATCTCTATCTAATGTTTCCTGTATTACCTGTATGAAAGATGTAGAACCATAGGGATGTAAGGATGCCGAGAAACTGGTTATAGAGCAAAACAGGATCAGCTGGAATGACTTGATAAGATTAGGAGCAAGATCAAAGTTTAAGTTTCAGAAAATTTTACCTGGTGCATAAGAAATTACCTTGAGCAGGATGACTTTATCCCTGACAACTTCTGAAAGCACGTGGGCAAAAGGTGGAAAATCATTTATCAAGTTGTTGCATGATCTCCTTGGAAAAAATTAGAACTTCGATTTCTTGAAAATTCCAAGATTAGAGTGGAGAAAATCCAGGATGCTGCATGTGGAAACTTTCTTCTCTTCTGGCAGAGCCTGGTGATTAATGAGTGACATTTTTCTTTTGTAGTATCTTTGATTATGGCAGATGTTACCACACACAGATAATTTTTTTCCATCAAGTTGGTATCTCATTTAAATAAAAAATGCTACCTTCCAGAAAGACATCTAGGAAGTGTCACTCAAGCGCCCTCCCTGGTTGTCTGCTTCCTTGGCACCCAGTAACATTCTTTTCTCATTTCTCTTCACTTTGTAATTCATTAAGAGATGCAATTCACGACATATCAGAAGTGAATCACTCCCTTCATTCACTGCATTCAGAAAGGTAAAAAGACAAGCCCAAAAGGCACCTTGACTTTGGAGCCATTTGTCAAATGGATGCAGAAACTCTTGAAGTCTGAAATCATCTAGTGCCTTAGAACGTTTAGTGATTCTTTTTTACCAGGATGAAAAACCAGCTTGTGTTTGCCAAGAAGCAATGATCCAAGAACACCACGTTTCCTTCTCCCTCCCTCAGTAGATGTCTTCTCACTAGTGAATCATCAGAGCAGGGATGCCCAAAATTATTTTTTCCTGCTGATTCCTTCAGATCCACATGTATATTGTCTGTAGGATCTAGTTGAATGCAGGTACTGCTAAGAATAGTATATATTGACTGCAAATGTCAGATTTACTTCTTTACGCTGGTGCATGGGAAGGTTTGCCAGACTTAAGTATTAAGTCACATTAATCGCATTACTTCAGGTGCTCTGTAAATCATGTGTTTTTTCATTGATGGTACTTTTTAAAATTACTGGTTGATTTTGTGACAATTTATGACAATATATCTGCTTTAGTTCTAAGCAATCTCTTTGCCCGTAGCCAAAAGTTCTTACTCCTTTCCTTCCTGAAAGAGATCTGGAAGAAGAAATTAAAAGGTTAGGATTATATTTTGCTGTATGTCCATAATACAAAATAATCTCTTCTATGTCCTATATTTATGAAAATGACTAACAAATTGCCAGCATCTTACATGTGCAAATAACAACTATCTTCAAGGTGAAAATTCACTTTTAAAATGTAATAGGTTACAATCTTATTTCTTCCCCTTGTGCACTGACTGCTATACCTACCAGAGCAGTGGGGGTGGGGGAGTTTTTTTTCTTTCTAAATCAGTCTACTAGTGTCATATTGATTTTCTCTCAAATACACCCTGTGGTCTCAGATGATCACATATTTTTCTTATGTTACTCATATTGATACAGCATCCTGGCTCATGGATTGACAGATTACTGGAGCTGTGCTGACAGTGTCCACTGTTGATATTTCCTGGTGGCAGAGTGTACGAAGTCTCTTATGCATGAAACATATTCTTTGAAAAGCAATTATTGTCCACCCCAAATGACTTCTTAATCCCCCATCAGTGTTGCTTCATTAGTGTTCCTAATCCCTACAGCAATGTCTCGAGTTCTTTTGTCTCTCTACCGATACAGGGAGAAAAAAGAAAGAAAAAAAAGTCCCTCACCTGAACATGCTCCAGTTACATTGTAAGAAGAATCGTATTATTATGTGTCTGGAAGAATACAGGTGGCCTTCCTATGTGGCATTGCTTTTGCTCTTTCTTTCTCAGCTGCATATCTCTGCTCACCTCACTTTCCTCTGTTTCAGCTAGCCGTGAGGTGGTTGGAACACAACTGCCATTTCCAGTACATGGACGAGCTCTTGCAGTACATTCGCTTTGGCCTCATGGATGTGGATACTCTCCACACAGTTGCCCTGTCTCACCCCCTCGTCCAAGCAAGCGAGACCGCCACAGCCCTGGTCAACGAGGCCCTGGAGTACCATCAGAGCATCTATGCCCAGCCCGTCTGGCAGACTCGCAGGACCAAACCACGGTTCCAGTCAGACACTCTGTACATCATCGGTGGGAAAAAACGTGAGGTCTGTAAAGTCAAGGAACTTCGGTACTTCAATCCTGTTGATCAGGAGAATGCTCTCATAGCTGCCATTGCCAACTGGAGTGAGCTGGCTCCCATGCCCGTGGGAAGGAGCCACCATTGCGTGGCAGTCATGGGGGACTTCCTGTTTGTGGCAGGAGGGGAAGTCGAGCATGCCAGTGGCCGGACATGTGCCGTGAGGACTGCCTGTCGCTATGACCCCCGCAGTAATTCCTGGGCAGAGATCGCACCCATGAAAAACTGCCGGGAGCATTTCGTGCTGGGTGCCATGGATGAATACCTCTATGCGGTTGGGGGCAGAAATGAACTGCGCCAGGTTCTGCCTACAGTGGAGCGATATTGCCCCAAGAAGAACAAATGGACTTTTGTTCAGTCCTTTGATCGATCCCTGTCGTGTCATGCTGGATATGTGGCTGATGGTCTTCTATGGATATCAGGTAGAACGTGCCTCATTTGTTGGCTTTTTTAAAAAACGCTTTCATGGTGGTAAACGTTTCAAAGTCAAGCTTTGCTAGTGTGGCTTTGCGTAATTGAAAGATTGAGTCAAGCATGCCAGTTTGGCTACTTAACATTCATTTATTGAGCACCTACTCTAGAGAACAATGTAACTGGATATAATGGGCCTTTCTGTGACTTTCTGAGTGATTAGTGGAGTAAAAATTCAAGGTGGAGATGAATGGTCCATCACACTCATTTTTCTACCAAACCCTCTGCTGTCTGCTCTTGATTATTCATGAATTGTATTGTTCGACTTGTGGTGTATCTAGGTGATTTGCTGCTGCTTTCCTCCTTGACTGCCTGCCTGGGAGCCATTTCATCAAAGACAAGCAGGAGAAGTAAAAGCCCAGCAAATTCATTTTGCTGGGTGTAGCAATTAATGGGTAAAAAATAATAATTATATATATATATATATTTATATATCTCTCCAGGTAATCTCTATGCTGTTAGTTGAGGGAAGGGATTTAAGTAACGAAAATAAAGCTTTTAGCCGGGCTCAGTGGCTCAGCCTGTAATCCCGCGCCTTTGGGAGGCTGAGGTGAATGGATTGCCTGAGCCCGCGGGTTCGAGACACCTGGGCAACTTGGCGAGACCTCATCTCTACAATAAATCAAAAAATGAGCCGGGCGTGGTAGCATGTGCCTGTAGTTCCAGCTACTTGGAAGGCTGAGGCAGAAGGATCGCCGGAGCCCAGCCGGTTGAGGCTGCGGTGGCCGGGAGCGGCCACTGCACTCCAGTCTGGGCGACGGAGTGAGACTCCAACTCAAAAAAAAAAAAAAAAGAAAGAAAAGAAAGCTTTTGTATTATCTTTGGTAGTAGTAACTCATGCCATTCTAATCCTTCATTCCTATTTAAGCTCTCGTTCTTACTGACTATTTGGGGGTACAGTTCGATCTCTATTTTACCTTTTTGTCTTTTCTAGTAACTTTTTGATTATGGAAAAGGAGTGAGATTGGTGTGATGTACCCATACACCTGGCTTCAACACTTGCCTATGTGCACTTTGGCAGTCTTGTTTCATCCTCACCCACTGACCCCTTCATGCTCCTCTTGGCTGCCCTTTTGCTTCTACCAAAGGAGTCTGTAAGGCATATGTTATCAACATCATGTTACCAACCTGTGGTTTCAATTCCTATTACTGAGAAATGCCTGAAGTGTTTGCCTTTGAGAGGTTTGCCTATCAGGGAAGGAAGTTGCATCTGCTCTCAGCTGGAAGATACTCAGCTGGTAACCCAAATGGCACTTGTTGGATTTCTGTGTCATCGAGGACAACGAGGAAGAGAAAGTCAAATAACTTAAATATGAAGGATAACTTTGATATTTGTACTTAGAAGGAAAAAAAAAATCACCTTTAGGTATACCTGCAAAGCTTTCTTAGCTTTCCTGAATAAACATCTCTAGTTTTTTAACACTTGCTCTGACAAAATTCTCCCTTTCATTTAAAAGAAATTTGTGGGACTCTGTCTGTTTATTCTGCTGTCCTCAGTAGCCAGGAAGATAGTCACCATCTCAGCTTTTCTGGGTGTTGCCTTAATTATTGGCAATACACTGATTTTTATTGACGAAAGCTAGCTTACATCAGGGCTTAAGTCCTCGATAAATTAATTAATTAAGTTAAGACAAGGACTAAGGAAGAGGATAGAGGTAAACCCAACAATTATTGGTCCAATATACCCAATACCGTTAGAAATAAGCGTGTCTGTTAGTATAGGTAGATATAGTCAAACAAATTAAAACCTCATTTATCTAATGAGTATTCTTTTTCTTTAAATATACTGTATAGTTAAACAGTTTTTTTAAAAAAACTACTTAGATGATGTCCTGTTAGCTTTGCTGAAGAAACTTCAAACTAGGCAACAAATAAGTCTTTGCGGATAAAAATTAACAGATCTGTCCTTAGATAACAAAACAATGATGAATTTATGAAATCAATGCAATTTATGTTTTCTCCCAATTTTCATTTCTTCCATTGACTCATTTAGTTTCATATATTGTTAATGTACTATATTCCTAAATTTGGCATTACATTTTCTAAATTTTGTATGAGTTTTTCATACATATTTTCATAAATATTCCTCTCTTTTTTGGGGCTGTAAAATTAGCTTGTAAAGATTGCTGGAGCTTCCCTTACATAGTCTTAACGATATGACCACTTAATTCCTTCTTCAGGGAGGCCTTAAGAAAGTAAGAAGCTCATCTTAGAGTAACTAGATCTGTCATCCTGGTATCAAGCTGACTTCCCTTTCAATATGGGTCTATATGTTTCCTTTTGCATTTTGTTAAATCTATCAACTTATTACAGGTCTTATTGCTGTCTCGCTTTGTTTTTCTCCTACTGTGAAAGGAAATACATTTCCTTTGTTCTTCTTTTGTACGAATGTATGCTGCCTGTGTTAACCACACTTGATGAAAACAATCACAATTTTCTCAGGTTTGTTTCTCCCTACTGTGTACTCGAGTTGAGAAACTCACTTTGCTGTGTACAGTACAATAACTTTAATTGGAAAGAAGAGGAAATCGCCAGTGACATTTCCAATACCTTCAGTCATCTGACGCTTTCCTCAGGCCCAGCTTATAATAAATCAATTGTGAATCTAACCATGAATAGGGAGGGGCGACTAGGTTTGCTAATGGGCCCCTTAAGACAAAGACAGGTATATTTCACCCTGCCTATCACTGATTTAGAAGTATAACCTGATTTACTGGAGCGGATGAAAATGTTAGAGGCCATTTCTTATCCTTTACCCAAATTATCAAGTATTTCCAACTTAATTGATAGAGGATTGAGTCATTGCCATCCTTCTGGTATTTTGCAAGCTTTGCCTATGGTGGAGGTAGTATGAATTACAGAATGTGGATCTGTTCCACAGAACACAAAAGGAATGTTTCTTTAGAGAGCCAATGTTTCCAGCATGCTCACTCCCTCCCCATCTCCTGCTCCCTTTTCTGTTCATTTTGGAGTCAGGACATCTTGAAATCTGTCTATAGTTTTTAACATGTGACAAGCAGAGAGAAATTCAGCAAATCAGGCTGTATGTATATACCCATTAGCATTTAATTTAAGATGTTAGAGATGGTGAGATTTTACAGGCTCCTGTAGTGTTTGACATTGTGACCCAATTCACAAATATTCCATACCATTTCAATTTGAAATTCACAGTACAGTACTGAAGTAAATAAGCATTAAATATCTTACAGCTGTGTTTTAAACTATATGTTCTCTGTTGCAAGGCATAGTTGGTGAATTACAGAAAAGATTCTTTTCTTTTTTGTGAGGGAAAATTAATCCTGAGCTCATCTCAAAGTACGGCTTTTTTTTTTTTTTTCATTTTTATCAAATGGCAGCAAGATAATGAGAGGCTAACCACAAAATTAGTGTTTTAAAACTATAAAAATGAGACATGCTATTGCATTTACTCGAAAGCAACATTTGGTGCTTTCTTGAATCTCCTGGTGAATGCTACATCCTTATAAGGTATAGTGCTGGAGCATAGAAAAATAAGATTAATTCAGAAAACACAATACACTTCCTGCCCTCTAAAAGCTGACCATCAAGGAGTTTTTCTGATGTTTCATTATTGAAAGAACATTTGTTAAGGCTTCTTTAACTCCCTAGAAGCTATGTGTATTTTCATCTTGATTAAATTTATATGAAGTGTGCATTACCTCATGTTAAATAACTTTAATTTATTCGAACCTACTAAATGGACTTTTTTATTCTTTTATTTTATTCTTTTATTCATTAAAATTAAAACAATGGGCTGGGCTCAGTGGCTCAGCCTGTAATCCCATCACTTTGGGAGGCCGAGGTGAGTGGATTGCCTGAGCCTGCAGGTTCAAGATCAGCCCGGGCAACTTGGCGAGACCTCATCGCTACAATACATCAAAAATTAGCTGGGTGTGGTAGCGTGCACCTGTAGTTCTGGTTACTTGGAAGGCTGGGGCGGAAGGATCACCGGAGCCTAGCAGGTGGATGCTGGGGTGGCCGTGAGCATGCCACTGCACTCCAGCCTGGGCGATGGAGTGAGACTCCAACTCAAAAAAAAAAAAAATTTAAACAATGTAAAATTTCATTAACATTTCAAAAATATTGTTGATCTATCTGTGCAGATATTGTTCTACTTGCATCTAAAAAACTATATACGATATATTGGGGAGTAACAGCAGGCATGGCAGAGGCTCGGGTGTGACACACGGAGATCACAGACTGTGGTCACACACGCACAGGTGAAACTTGCCTCGCCTCTTACCAGTCATAAGACAGACGCTGAGCAAAGTTTCTAATCTCCTGTTCTGGGACAGTGCTGGACCACCACATTAGAGCTTAGTAGAGGGAGCAGACTTTTGTGTGATAATTATATGAGGGGTGATCCAAAAAAACCCAGAATTTATTTATAAAAAATTTCACATTTGTTCTTACATATTTAAGCTTCAGTCACCTTCAAACTACTCTCTGTTTGATGCAATGCACCTATTAAGATGCTTTTCCACTGCTCAAATCCGTTTTTGAACTCATCCATTTTGATGCCTTTTAGTGCTTCTACCGTTTTTTGTTTTACCTCTTCAACATCAGCAAAACATTCCTCTTTTAGGACTTTTTCATCCAGGAAAACAACAAAAAAAGTCGCTCAGGGTGAGATCGGGGGAAATAGGAAGGGTGGGGAAGGGGGATCGTGCTGCTTTTTTTTTGTTTGTTTTTTTTTGAGTCGGAGTCTCATTCGGTTGCCCAGACTGGAGTGCAGTGGCAGCTCCCGGCCACCGCAGCCTCGACCTGCTGGGCTCCGGCGATCCGTCTGCCTCAGCCTTCCAAGTAGCTGGAACTACGGGTGCGCGCTACCACGCCCGGCTCATTTTTTGATTTATTGTAGAGCTGAAGTCTCGCCTGCCCAGGCGGGTCTCGAACCCGCGGGCTCAGGCAATCCACTCACCTCAGCCTCCCA